TTGTCCTGTACCTGGGCTCCTCTCAGGGACACAGTGGCCTGTATCCTGCTTCCTGATTCTGGCTCTTCCAGGGGTAAGCCCCAAAGCAAGGCACTGTGCTCTCTGAGCCTTCGTGTCCTAATCTGTAATGTGACAACACTGACTCCTATTTCCATGGTAGCTTCAGATTCAAGGAATTTGATGGAAACCTCAGAGAAACTTAGTAAATGCTTTTAAAAATACAATAATTAGTCTGATACCTTCTGAAAATGGGCAAAATACTTTTATATCCCCATGCTGACTCCCATCCCTGCTGGCTGAGTAAGCTGGTAGCATCATAGCAGTGTTTCTTTCTCAGGAAAACTCCCTCTGGGTCTCACCCCCTTGGGTCTTTGGCTGCTGTTTGTAGTTGGATGCACCCCTCTATTGAAATAGTAAGCTCTTTGAAGACAGCAAAAGGACCAGGACTTTCTTGATGTTTCTCCAAGTGCCTGCTACAATTTTGAGTATGCAACAAATGTTTGGTGATGCTGTTTAACCTCAGCAAAAGTGTTGGCTGAGCCTCTCTACTATGTGGGTCACTCTTGACCAGCTCGTGGGTGAACGTGTATAGGAGAACCTAGCATGGATGAGACAGAGAATTAATATTTATACTACTCGGTAAGTGCTAAAATCCAGCACTGGGTATTTTTCTCTGCATCCTTCATCTCCATCAGACAGATATTTTCACCTTAATCTCCTACAGGCACATGTTACCCTTCCCATTTACCAGAGTAGGATACTGAGATTCCAGAGGAGTAACTTACAGTATGTTCCCAAGAAGGGACCAAAGTTATAAGAGCAAAGCCAGACTTGCAGGACTTCTACCTCACCYCATTGCTGCCCATGCTCTCTCCCTGACATTCCTTGAGGCAAGACTCAAATATATTTCTATATGATCAAATGAGTAAATGAATCAGTATGTAAATCGCTATACCACAAGATATCTATGGTTTGCATTTCAGTGGAGGCACACATTATTGTGGACACAACAAGGAATAGATAATAGCAACTCAAAGTAAGGCAGCAAAAGTATAATTTGCTCACTATTGGGTTAATGGGATATAAAGTCAGAAAATCAATTACAAAGAAAGAAAAGGTCCCCAGGTCTCATCTGCCTTCTAATGCAGGAATTTTCTATAGTATAGAATGTTTCAAAGTAACACCATAGACACATGTTCTTTCTTCTAGCCCTCACACTACTGCCCTGGAAATGGTTAGTCTAAGTCTTGCCTTCAAAGGATGAACCAAATAAATTGGTTGGTTGACTGGGCCTTGTACTCCCTAGGAGAGTAAATCCCAGACAGTCTCAGAATTCCCATGTCTTCCTTCCATCACTGCAAAAGAGAAAGGTGCCTGTTTCGAGAGGAGGAAGTAGGATTTGGTAGAAAGGTCAGGGGCAACAGCAGAAAGAAATAATATCTATAGTGCACTTTGGCAGCCTTTGGTGCAAAGCATTAGAGAAATGTGACAGGTGGAGACAAAATAAGAACAAGACAAGATCTCTGCAAGCCCTTAAACTAACCCATGTATCAGCTTCCCAGAAGAGAGATAACTTGATTCTTTCAGTTCATTTCCATTTTTGTTCTGTCTCAGGAACTTCTTGATTCCAGCTGGGCTGGGAAGGTACGTGGCCAAAATATCCAAAGAATGTCTCTTATTATAGGATGTTCAGCCCAATTTGCACAACCAGAAAGTTTTGATACTTCTGATAACGTTTGGACACGAGACTCGATGTTTGGACTCAGCTTTACTCTAACCAAATTTGGGAATCTTGTTTGAAGAGATTGGACAAGAGCGACTGGAAATCATTAGAAGTGGCAGGTTCACACAAAATCAAAACCGACGTCTTCATTAGTATTCTAAGCCATGTAACACAAGGAGTGTTGTGTGCTTACAAGGGTCACGAGAGCCAGCAGACTTATTCTAATAAGGCTGTACCTCTGGACGGAGTTCTCACCCCTGTGTCTTGCACAGTGGTAAGGTCAGAGCCTGGGTCTTACAGCCTTTGGTTCCCTTCCTAGGTCCTAGGAAGAGGTAGCCTCGTACCTCTGATAAACACCTGTGTTTATTATTTTTACAGCATCAGAGAAAGACAGAGAGTGGGACACACTGGCGTATAAAGAAGAAGGGGACAGCTGTGATCATTTCATCTTTCCCCAGGGAAAGGAGTGCCCAGGGGCCCATAGAACAGGTCACTGTGTCCTGGAGCGGGTACAGCCGAGATTCCAGCCCCTCAGGGGGGCCTCGCAGGGATACCAGCATTGAGATCTGTCCTCCTCGCACGGCTGCTTTCCTAGGAATCCAGTTACTTTCAACTTTCAGATGTGCCCTCACATTCCTGAGCTCCTCCTGTATCTTCCACGAGCTCCTTCTAACTCTAGATTTTCCACGTCAGGGCTCTGGGACTCCCTGGGGAAACCACTGGGCTACTCAGTTTCTCCAAGGTAGACACGAATTCTCACCTTGCAGAATGGAATGAGTGTCCAGCACAGGGGTTGGTGGCCTCAGTAACTACCAGCTCCTTCCCTCTAGCCTCCTCTATCTGCTTTAGTCACTCTCTGGACTCTAGCTCCTATGGGGTCTATTCATGTATGAATTTGTGAGTGTGTGTGTGTGTGTGTGTGTGTGTGTGTGTGTGTGTTTGTGTGTGTTAGAAAGAGAGAGGAGAGTATCAGAAGAGGCAGAGGCACATGGTGTACTTTTCCATCTTAAGAGCAACTTCCAGGAGCCTCCCTGGCCCTCCCTCACACCATCAACATCTTCACTGGAGGCCCTGACAGGGTGAAAATGAGGTACCAGTCTCCACTAATCACTGCACAAGGTAATGAAGGGCACAGTCTCCTGCCTCTCTGCTGTTAGAGAGAGCTGTTTCCGTGTCAGGAATAGCCTTTACCCTGAATTAWGCAGGCTCTGATGTCTGTGTGTGAACACGCGTGTGCACACATGTGAGCACATGCACCTGTGTGCATGATGGCGGGGGGAGGTGGGAATGATCCCAGGCACCAGCCTTCATATGAGGAACGTGGGAGACTTTTGTTCTACACCCTCCAGGCCGCCCTCGGCCTGGCCCTGCACCCAGCCTGCGCGCAGATCCCCTCCCTGACCCTGTATTCTCCAGTGAGCTGATCTCATTATGGCAAATTTAGTTACAGCTGAAGTCTCCTTGTAACAAAGATTATGTCCAAGCCCAGAGTAATGGAACCTAGTCGATTTCATTAAAATAAAATTGGTTACAATGAATAATTCAATAGGATGATTTTGTTTCCTCATCTCCTCTTTGTAGATCGAAGAGCTAGTATTTATAATGATTTTTTTTAAATTGGATTTTTGTTTAGGAAGAGATAATCACCCATAATTCCTGACAGCCCTCTCCATACAAGATTGGAATAATTGCCCCCATGAAGCCTCTTTTCAAATGCTAAGACTGGAAAATTCTCTCCTTTGCTCACATTAGTGGCAATAACCTTGGGTGGTTTTTAAACACAGCTGCTACCTCGACCCTGTTCAGATGAGGTTCTGAGTGTGTTGATGATTCTCTTGTTTGAGAGATGTTTTTTTAAACATMTCTGGGAACTGGATGCTGGTGTCGAATTTGGGATTCCCGTACATTCTATGTGATGGAGAGGGGACACCCAGCATCTTCTTTCAGAATTGTTTGTTTGCATGTAGTAATGCGTGAACCTGTGTCTAGATGATCAGGAAATAGACGTTTCCTGATCATCTAGACATATCCAGATCCTGTGCTGAAAGTAAAAGGACAAAGATGAGTGAAACTTGCACCTACTCTCAAAGAACTGAGAGCCTAAGGGGGCAGCCAGGTGGACAAGTGAATGGGTGTGACCACAGAATTGAGCTCACCAAGTGGAGAGGTGGAGAGGGGAACTCTGGCCTCTGTTCATTTACCAGGCTGGCGATCTACACGAGAGGCATTAGGGAACACCAGGTTCCTATTCTCACCACTCTCCGYAAGACACCCAGAAATAAATGCAGATGAATAAATAAAAGAATCTAATAATGTCAACATAAGCTTTCGTAAGACAAAAAAAAAATGCTCAAGTAAATGTGGAAACTAATAAATGAGGTGGTCTTATCTTGTACTAGTAATTCTTCTGTGGCACTCAGCAGGTGGTAATTCTCTTTATCTAGAAAGAAGACAGTCCTATCCCACTGAACCAGAGTCAAGGAAGCAAAATCCGAGAAGTACACCTGGGTTCATGGTTCATCTGTGAGAGCCAGAGGCACCCCGGCTCACAAATAGCCATTGGGCTGGGCGGTCAGAAGCACTGAGCTGTGTCTCAGGGAAAAGGGAGTCTCGAAAGAAGGCAGGTGCTTGCTCAGCAGGATAATTGGAAAGGGAGCTCTGGGGACGGCACAGCCATCCCTAGAATCACACAAGCTCTGGTGGCCCCAAAACTCTTGCTCCTTCAACTAAGCTGCCAGTCCCCTGGGGGGGAACCATGGTACATAAATGGTGCATTATGGAACTGAAGAACGAGTCTGAGCTTCTTAGAATTGGGAAGGTCCTTGGAGATCATAAGCTCTCTATTTTAAAGATGGGGGAAAATCGGGTCCAGAGAGATGGAGAGACTGGCCCAAAGCAACACAGCCCAATTGACTGTAGAGTAATCATTGATTCAGGAGGAATACAATTTGGCACTCTCCACTAAACAGATAGACTCCTCAAAATGAATTTGTTCTTACCTTCACTGAATTTCCATGGTATATCCAATTATGAATTATAATAGGGACATGGAAGGACAGTCATTATTCCTATTGTGTTGATATTTCCTCCCTTGGCCATTGCATTTCTAGTCCTTTACAAATGGTACTCAAAAGCTAGGGACATTACATTTGGCTAAAGATAACCACAAAGGGGCCATGTCCAAGGACACTGCATTTGAGATGACCCACCTTRAGCGCCAATCAGAGCAGAGATTCAGAGCATCTGCAGGAAGTAGCGCACATGGTTGGGAYCTTACCTGGGATGCTGCTGGCTGTCCGATGACAACCCAGCCTGGGCACTGTTGGTCCTGATGAGACACTGAAGCATTGGATGCCCACTGATCCAGGAACCCCTGAGGTGTGTAGACGCCACAGTCTTTAATGCTAGTCTTTTGTTCAAACTCTTCACATACCCCGTCCCCATCATGGAAATAGCACCGGCTGGGTTCATCTGCAGGAGATGGACATAGAAGGGGAAAGAATAGATAAATATTCGTTCTTTGGTCTCAGTTACCATCAGCAGCTAGGAGATTAGACCACCAAAGCCATGTCATGGCAAGCCCATCACCCTGAGTCACAATGGAATATGCTCCAGCCTTAAGAGGGGGAAAAAAAGGGAAATTCTCTTATACACAATGATGTGGCGAACATTATTGTACGTGAAATGAGTCAGTCGCAGAGGCACACACTGCATGCTTCTACTTCTATGAGGGGTCTGAAGTAGCAAAACTCCTAGAAGCAGAGCGAAGAATGGGTATCACCATGATATGGAGAGAGGGGAAGGGAGGAGCTGTTAACGAATAGGGAGCTTTGGTGAAGCAAGATGAAAACGATCCAGCCCCATGTTGGGCAGACAACAGACATTTATTTTACTCTACACTAAAATATGTTAAGAAAGCAGATTTCATGTTTTGTCATATACACACCCAAAAGTTCACACTTCCACCTTCATTACCCCCAAGTAAACCTCACAACCACCTCATGAGGAAGGTATCATATTTTATGACTCTTTCAATCTTTCTGATGAGGAAACAGAGCTCCCGTGGGGCTTTAATAACTTGCCCGAGGGTCACCGTGTGCAATAATGCCAGACCTAGGACTCCGGGTCAGGCGTTCACTTTCCAAGTTCTGGGTGCATCATCTGATACCACAGGACTTTGTAGTTGCAAATTGGCATTTATTTAACTCCAAAGAGGATTTCAGTTTTGCATAAAGAATGAACTGGCTTCCATCCCAGTACTGAAACTAAATTGCTCTGTTATGTTAGATGAGTCTCTTTCTTGCTCTGGACTCAGTCATCAAGGGAGAGGGGGTTAGAATACTGGAATCCAAGAGCCCTTTCTGTCTAATGCCTCTAAGGACTTGTCAGATACCTTTGGAGGTTCTGCTAAAGACCAAGAGAATTCTCAAGCTCCTGTGCAATTCTAACCACAGCAAGGTGTTGGCTTGGCATGGTTTAAAGCTGCCACTGGCTACAATACTTCTCACTTAGCTGCAAGGACAAGGATCACAGAAGCACAGAGCTAGCAGCAGGATGCCTTCTGAGCAGGTACGGACTATGCATGCTTCCTGGCATTTGAACATAGACTGTTACAATGAGAAGCCTGGCTGTGAGCATCGGAAAGTGATCACCCAGGCACCTTTTAATAATTCTAATGTCAGCAAAGAAAAACTCCCCTTCCTGGGTGGGGGTTATTTTGTAAAGATCTCGACCTCAACATGCTGCCATTAGTTTTACATGCTACCAGCTCCTCCAAAGGATTCTGAATGGGGGTCTCTACCCAGTACCGTMGGGTTGCCATACATTGACAGTGATGGCCGTGCTATTAAAGACCATCTTCAAGTGACTGACACAGATCCTGAAAAAGCTGTATATCCCAGGCAAATCAAAATGTAAGGTCATCCAAAAAATAGTGCTTGATCTGAGTCATTCTTCCCCCATTGACTCCAAAATAACCGAGTGGAGCTCTGGAAAGGGCACTGAATTGAAGGCCAGAAACCCAGGTTTGATTTCTGTTCCTTCCATTTGCTATGAAGCTCTGCCTAACCAGCTTTGCTTCTGGGTCTCTGGCTCCCCATGTATAATGTAGACATGATAGTCCCAGCCAGGGTAACCATAGAACTCACACAGGAAATGAACATAAATGTGTTTTGTTCATTCTAAATAATCATCAAGAGAAAAAATAATACTCTTCTTCTAAGGGGTTGATTTGTTCCTAAGTGAGTGAATTAAATCAACTTGTGAAATCAGTACTCCCTTGAAATATATTCAAACAACATTCTCCCAACTAGGCAGAGCTGGGGTCAAGGAGAAATAAGACTTGAATTTCTATGCTGCTGACTATCTGAAAAAGAAGTCACTGAATTCAGAGGCAGCAGAATGTTGAGCCCCTTCCAAGCTCCAAAATCCCTTGTTTATTTCTGCAAACAGTTTACATAGTGAAATACCATCAAAAGAGCCAGAATAAATCAATTCATTATAATACAATTATTTAAGCCTGGGTCTGAGCCAGATGAGGACTCCAGTGTCCAGTAGCGTGCCTGGCAGTACAAACATGGAAAGAACACAGGCGCAGCACTTCTCAGTAGCCCCGACCTCTTGGTGACTGTGGCCAGCTCAGATATAACAAAATTTAGGGCCAATCCAAGAATGATCAGCTATAAATCCAGACTTTTCTCTCTAAAATCCAATAAAGGGGACTGCAAAGAGCAAAGGTTTTTGACGTTCAAATGCTACCTCTGTCACACATGAGCCGAGTAGGACTTAAAATAACCTCATCTCTCTGTGAACATCCCTTTCCTTATCAATGATAATAATAATAATGATATGATGATGTTCATTTATGTTATTATAGTGATTATGTGAGACAATATGCACAATGTCAGCCCTCTGGYCCATTTTATCTAATGGAAAACTGAGAGCTACAGGAATTACAGCTCCGCTTCTAGACCAGAGGGAGCTGCTACCAGAGCTAAGAGTTGGAGTCTGGTTTTTTACATCTCAAAGAAAGACCTTCCCTACACACAGTCCCTATGGTGTTGGAAATACAACCTATAAGGATAAGATCTGGGGGTGCCTGATTCTTGGAATCCCTTTTGTCCTCTCTCTAATAGAGGACAAATAGGGAGGAATGCTAATAAAATCATATAAAATCTGTTCTTTCATATGACTTAGGTCCTTTCCTTAGCAGAGACCTCTCAGTGGCCAAAAGTGGTACCAGAGGTCAATTGTAACCAAAGCTGATTTCTTCCTGATTATTTTGAAGGCTACAATAAATCTGTCTGCTTGGAACTGGCAGAACCTGAGAACGACGGGAGGTAAGCAGGTGCACAGGTAGGTGGATGTGCAGATGAATGATGGATGGAGAGGTAGACAGAGAAAGAATCAGAAGAGAAAAAAGAGGTAGCATGAAAAAGAGAAGGACAGAGAGGGGAGAGAGATGGGGGTGGCTGGTTTCTTCAATATTCTGCTGACAAAGCTATTCCGTATCACTTTAAAAAAAAAAAAAATAACATCCTTGGACTCTGCTGTTCAGTTTCTCTTGCTACTAGTGTCCCGAGGGCCCTTCAGCTCCATCTGCCAGTCCTTCTCTGGAGTATTCTCTTTCCCTTTTTACTCCCTCTGCCCCAAGCACTGAAGAGAACAGGGTAAGGAATGGAATACAAATGTGTGGCCCGGGAAAAACAAAGACAGCAACAACCACACAATAAAACAAAACTGGTCTTCTTGTTTTCATTACGTCATTTTACTTGGTGCTCTTTGAATACTTTATGCTCAGAGCTGAGCARGTTTCTGTCAAGAACGGGAAGTCAGTACCAAGGTCAACGAATCACCTTGCCTTCCAGATAGTAGCTAGGTGGCATTCATAATAATATATTCCACTGGGAGAAGTACTGTGAAGACTGCACACACGTACACATAAAAATGTCTGGAAAACCTCATAGTCTTTTAACAGATATTTGCTGAATGAATGAATGACGACACTTTGGCATTGCTGATTTACACCTTCCTGTGCAAGCATAGTTTAGACTGCACCCTTTGGAAATGTGTCTTAAGACTGAAGGAGAATGAGCTACCCATAGGTGCTGGCTTACTGTGGGCCTGCATTGAGCAGTCTGATCTTTCCATCTTGCTCCATCTTCCCCTAGCATGAGGGAATTAAGTTCCTCATTTCAGAACCATCCCCTTACAGGTGGAGACACATTTAGAAATTTGCTCTACCACGCTAGGAAACTTGATGCGGGTGGGGTGACATTAACCTTGTCTTTCCCACTTGGGTGTTCATATGCCAGAAACTCTTTTCCTGTTTTTGGAAGAAATGAGCTCAGCTGAAGAGCCGAAGCAGATGGACTCTCTAAGTGGACACACACAGCTGATGCAACCCCTCATTGACTTAATTTTCAATTTTCATCCGTCTGGAGCATCAAGATGAAATAATATGACTGAAATGACATGCCTGCATTCCTGAGGCATATCCGAAGGCCACAATCTGAGATAGGCAGAGACTGTGACATCCATTGGAATGTCTGGAAAGCCACATCTAAGGGAAATGACACAAGTTAACCTTAAAGAATAAGCGAAGACTTGAGGTTAGAGTTATAGTGAGAGTTCTTATCCTTGAAGTCAGAAAACTTGGAGTCAAGCTACTGTCTTATCTTGATTTATTGGTTAATCTTGGACATGACATTTCACCTTCCCGTATCTCACTTTCTGCAGCTATAAGTGGAAATAAGATTACATTTTAGACATCTTCATTAAGATGCTGAGTATTATCAAATAGTATAAGAGACCAAGAGATGTGAAAATGGAAATGGTCTCCAAGACACAAGTTCTACATTTTACAACAATAATACAGGGATGAGGTAGGAGGCAAAGGAGGTTTTCTTAATCAGAGATCCCCCTTTCATCTACCCAGGCATAGATCCTCAGGAATCTTTAGGGATCAAAATGATCAAAGAGGGTGCATGGACTGTTTTTCGTATAAATGGAAAAAGACACAAGTAAGCCAAGAAGAAAACCAACAACAATCTAAAGAAAATAATATAATTGCTTATATACTGAAGTCATCTCAACACAATCGGGAGACTAATTAACTTAGATGGGAAACTTTGATAGTATATGATATCCCCCAAATCCCTCAGATGAATGAATGAAAGAGCGAGCTGAAGGGCCCATACTTGGAGAAGAGAGGAAACAGTTAAATTACTCATGCCTTCCCGTCGCCCTAGGTATGGATTTCACAGGGGATTTGCCTTCACCATGGCTCTCACCAGTTTTAGGAGCTGGACAAGACACGGGCATAAGTTATAGGTCACTGATAAATTAATGGGAGCCAATGTGTTTGTCAAAGGCCCAAGATAATGAGCATTCTTTAGGATAGTGGTTGAGTTTAGGGTATTTTGGCTCCAAGTCTTCTGCCTAAAATAAAAAAGCTACCATGCTCCTTCTTT